CTTGAAGCAATCTTATTTTACAAAACCTCTAATTTTTCTATTCATTGAAGAATGCTTGTTAATATAGAAGGATGCAACTCTTCAATATATATTCAAATTTATGTGAATAATTGTTATTAACTCAAATAAAAATATAATATTGCTGATAAAACTTCTATATTGAAAATAATAATTTACATCAATAAAATTTATTCAAAAACAATCTATTAAAAATGTAATTGGTATGAGTTTAAATAGATGAAAATGATTAATTCTTCACATTTTCAGTTTCCATTGCCACATTATTAAAAATTTCACCAAAAATTCTATCATTATTTTTATAATAATGATAGATTTTTTCAGCCGAATTTATCAAAATAATTTGCATTGAGCACTTATCCAAAATCAATACTTTGGTAGAAAATTATTTAACTTCAATAATGAATTAAATTAATGTTTATTGAGATTACAGAATAAGAATTATTTTAAGTAAAATGTAAAATATATTAAAAATAACATTGAAAAGCTCAGCTTTTTTCTAGAGGTGAATATTTTAACAATTGGAAAGTGAATATTATTGTTCAAATATAGAATTGATTTAGATATTTTTACCAATTGATTTTAAGAAATTATGAATTAATCTAAATTGTGATATATTACTATCTAATTTTCAACTTCTTTTATGAAATATATATTAACTACTATATGTGATTATCCTTAAGAAACATAAAATAAATGAGTCAAAATTAACTGTTTTCATAATTTTTATTCAAATAATTCTTTTCTAAATATAGAACCTAGATAAATTTTAATAAACAATCCTAAATTTTATTTTTTTTTCAGCTAGCTAAATGAGTACTTCATTTTTATTTTATTTGTAATGCAAAAATTGGTTATTTATTGTTAGGGTACCATATTAATTTCAGTTCATAGTGTGATGAACTTATTATGCAAACATAAAAACAATGTCTTTAATTCTTACTTATTTTAACGATTATTAACTATATATTATAATATTTAATTCCTTATAATTAAAGAGAAATTTACCGTTTTTACGTCTTTTAATCTAATTGTCATTTTAAGCACTTATTAAATGCTTATAAACAAGTATACTCAATAAACAGCTATTTTTATTGAATAAAATAACTTCTTTTAACCTTATAATTAATTGAAACTATAGTTTAATTGATAAATAATACTTAAATAACAACTGATGATTATTTTTTTTTATTTTATTCAAAAAATTTAGATTGATAAGAACTAGGACCTCTGTATTTCTTTTAAAAGAAAGAAAAAATGCTCCTAATTCTAAAAAAAAAAAATAGAACAAAATATATTAATTAGGTTTAATGGACAGAAAAGAAAGAG